TGCCACTATGCTTTTTAGACCAAGTTAATAACATTAATAATAATTGAATAAATAAAATTTTTTTCCCCCCCCCCCCCCCCGTTGTTAATAATTAAATAAACACATTTTACCTTATTACGAATTTTTGCATAGTTAACAGGAAAAGCCATTGTGAATTGTTCCATGGTCCTCTCTGATGATTAGTGGTCTGGCCACTAATCATTGGTTAGGACCCCCCATTTTGATTGTTCTATGCTGCATGTAGGGACGTCTCAAGTGGTATAGTTGTAAATATTCCTTGTATATATTCTTTTTATTTTATTAGGCTAATGCCAACAGTACTTAGCATTAGTACTGTAGAGTAGGAACTGTGCAGTATAGAGTATTTTAGGAAGGCTCCTAGCTGTGTGCAAAGATGGAGGCCTTAGAATTATGAGTAGGCTTTTAGCTGTGTGTGAAGATAGAGGCCTGGAAACTGAGAACCCTTAGCTGTGTGCGAAGATAGGAAGATTTATATATTGGACTTTTATTTATTTTATTTTATATATTTATTAGACATAACCCGAGCTGTAATTGAATTTACATGCTCGCATTACTTATTAACTTATCAAACAATTATACTATTGATCCAGAATTAAAAGAACACAACAATCATGATTGTTATATTTGTAGTCCTACTCTAAGCTTAGAACATCATCATCAAATCCATCATCTTTAAATACTGTTGGTTCTCAAACTCATACTAAAAAAAGGAGTATTGCTTGAAAGTATTTCTTTAAATGAAACCTCACCAGAAGCTCAAGATGCTCAAAATCTTAATGATGAATCTAACTCATGACAGCAAGGATTACTTGCTCTCACCACTCCTCTCATCACTTTCAATGTCTGGTTACTAGGTATTGGAGCAAAAATATCATCAATTCCATTGCATCTAGCCTCCTCACCATGATATGTTTTCAGTATTTGTCAAATTTGTGATGTATTTCACAAATCCTATGGACATCACATATTGAAAATTTATGTGACCACTCCATATCAAGAATGACCATCCTGTCTTCTTGCTTTACACAACAATAGGCATTGGGTTGGCAATAGGTTTTGTCAGATAGCAGCTGAAGGAACTCTTTGTAGCATAATTCTCTATTTGATGGTTACAATGGTGTAAACTGATACTTCATGACCAAATTATACAATGTCTTTTCCATGATAGAATGTCTGCATGGATTGCATTAAGTGAGATGTTTCTTTTTTCCATGCAGGTAAGCTGTGCATCATTCCATGGTTTTGAAATTAGTCATGATTGAAGATCTACAACTTGTTCTGGCATATTTCGGTAATGCAGATGGATGTGTTTACACATTTATTTCTTTTTAAAAAGGGGGGAAATTTGATGGCAAGGTTGTGGTTTTTAATAGGTGTTTCTCTCAGTTTGCATTTTTGGTGGCCAGTACCTGGTTCTAATTTTGAAAATTTCTTCGTTTCTCAAGCATCAATGTGGCTAGTACCAACACAAGCAGGACCTAGCTATCCATTGAAGGTGGTATTTTTTAATGTACTCATGGTATCCTTTCCTATTGGGGTAAACATCAAAGATTCCATGTCAGGGTTTCCAAATAAGATCAGAAGTTTGACATTGTTTGATTCAATAAAACTCACAATCAGTATACTGTAGTTTGTGTCAGTTGGCTTTTTATTTGATAATTTAGGTATAATTTTTATTATATTTAAATT